AGTATTGAGCATACGTGGGTGCGCTCCTGAGCACCCCTCATTTGTGACGGTGTGAGAGGAGGCAGCTGGGTGGTGGGGCCTGGGGGAGGAGCAGCAGGCCAGGGTCAGGGCTTCTAGGTTGAGCGTCCCCTCCTTTGTCACCACAGGCAAGTTACATGCCACTCTGCCTTAATTTTGCCACCTGTGAAATGGGCACGGTAAATGGGAGAGGAATGTCGAATGAGAAACCAAAGAAGGTGGAATTAGAAGAAAGTGCTACAGCCCACTCCCCACTGTAGCCAATTACACCGCAGCTGAAAACTTGCTGCATGGAAAGAGGCCCATTCCCAACAGTGCCGGGGTTACCGGGATACACAGCCCGATCACGAGAGGTCATTCTGATGGGGTGCCCCTGTCTGAAATGGAGGCGCTTCGTACCTGAAACATAGCTGAAGTCCTTGAGGCATTTCACATGCGTGGCCTGCAGGGAAAGGGAACTTACACAGGAGAGAGCCTTTTTCTGGCCATGAGGCTGAGCCGTTTCTTTTCTGAATTTGGGGGTGGTCATCCTTCCCAGTCAGGGAGTGCCCGAGATGGTCATCACAGACAGGAGTGGGAGCCCTCCCCCTGCCCCTTCCATATCCCGGGTTCTAGAAGGCACACCACTGGAGCTGGGACGGCACATTCCCCCACACCCAATGGAATCCTCTTCCCCAACGAGGGACCTCGCTCTGGGGGCCCAACGCCAGGCAGAGAGACATACAGCTAGGCAGGAGAGCTGTATGTTTCAGTCATTGCCCACTTTGGGAAGAATTCTTGCTGTCTAAAAGATAATGTGATTCTTTGGATCAGCAGGAAAATGGTACAGGGATTTTTGCCACAGGAAGTTCAGGGCGGTCAAACAGAGCCAGGTGTGGGGCATTAGATTTCAGGGGAAGGTTATCATTTGGGGTGGTGGTTGGAGGGGAACGGATCAAAGGGGGCTGAGTGTAATGAATGGTGGGCTGCACACTTCAGTGCACCCCAGAATTGTCTGGGGTGCTTACTTGCTCACTTATTTCTTGATTGGCCATTCTTTATTTAACTCAGAAAAGTCCCCTTACTTGCTAAATATCTACAGTCACTTAGTACCAAACTTTGGTGACAATTACATCTTTGGTGCTGCTGCTGTTCATTGTGAAAGCAGCAGCAGCAGACTCGCCCAGGTTTTAGCAGCATCGCCCTTTGGGCGACCTGGGACTTGCAGACCCATGGGTAGGGGGCGTGGCAACTTTGCTTTGACAGACTCATCTATCGAATGCCCACGTTCACTACAAGTTCAAGAAGGATGGACATACACACTAGATCCACCGAGATATCAATAATGCCCTTCTGTCAGCCCCTGTGGGAAAATAGTTCAGAATGTTGTAAAACACTTGAATGTTTGACAGAGCTTTTGTTTTGGTGACATTCCTATAATTAACACATATCCCTTTTCTGGGGGGAAAAAAGTGGCCAGGGTCCAACGTGAGTGCCTCCTATCAGGTGAGCTCCCAGCGCGTTGCCTGGTCCCACCTACGAGAGCCAAGCTGTAGGCACTGAAGGGACGTGCACTCGGGGTCCTGGGAGACACTCACTCAGTAGAAACAACACGGGTTGAGCGCCTGCTTTCCCATCATGCCTCTCGCTGCAGGGACGGGCTGACAAGTTTCTTCATCTCCCAGGCCTTTGCTTTTCCTGTGTCAGATGAGGCCACGCCCACCTGGGTTCCCTTCATTGCTGGAGGAGGGGAGAGTAAGACTTAGGACTCGGGCTTTCTGTGCGGACTCCAGGTGAATCTGACGCACGTGGTTGGAAACTCCCCGGACCGGTGAGGGCACTGCCGCCTCTTAGCTGCGTGTCCTTGGGTGGGTTACCTCCCTCTCTCGGCCTCGTCTGACGTTGGGTCACAGCGATACTCACTGTACAGGGTGGATGTACATGCAAATACTTACACAGTGCTGACTGTTACAGGCACGCTCGTTCTAACAGATGAGAAAGTAAGGCACAAGAGGTTAAACAACATGACTGGTAAGGGGCAGGGAGGGATTCAAACCCAGGCAGTCCTGATCCAGAATTTATGCCCCTAAGTGTGGTTCTCAAAGTGTGTTCCAGGCATCCCTGGGGGGTTCCCAGGCTGTCCATGAGGTCAGAATGCTTTTCATAATCTAACATTATTTTCCTTTTTACTCTTTCTTGCATGAGTATACAGTGGAGTTTTCAGAGGGTACACGGCACGCGATCACGTCCTTCTTCTGGCAGTCAGTGTGTGTGCTTGTGAATTCTTGTGTTTTGAAAATTTCTCACTTTTAATTTTGAATATAGTAAATACTGATAGCTAAAATCCACATAAATGAAAACTCTTTGGGATCTTCAGTAATGTCAGGAGTGAAAGGTGTCCTGAGACCAGAAAGTGTGCAGCCTGCGCCCGAGGCTGTGCTGCCTTACGCGTGGTACTTGAGAGTGGAGCGTGGCACCTCCTGTGTGTGGCAAGCGGCTGACGGGGAGAGTGGCGCCCATCCTAGGGAACTGCAGCTCTGCTCAGGGCTCAGCCGTGCTGTTTGTGTGTGGTTGGCCAGCTGCCCAGGCTGCAGCTTCCATTCTCGGCCCAGGGCATCTTGGTACTCAGCCTGGCTGCAAGAGTGAGCGGACACCCTGTTCTGTGGCAGGTCCCTCCCTGGGTGGAGTAGGGCTGGGCACTGCTGCTTCAGAGGCCGCACGGGTTCTTGGCTGGGCTCTCATGGAGGCCTTAGGAATAAATGAGTCTGTGGTGTTGAAGTCCCTCGCCAGCACTTGTTCTAGGCCAGGCCTCACACTCAGCCAGCGCTCTGCCTACGTTATCTCATTGAACCTCGCACCAACCGATAGTACGGATAAAGAACCTGAGGCTCAGGGAGGTTCTGTTTAGGTGAGGTTCTGCAGCTAGTAAGTGGCAGGGCCCAGGACTCAGACCAGGTCTGTCTGACCGAGCCCACATCCCTGACGTCTTTCAGATCTCAGGATGTTGCTCCGCTCATCCAGTTCCTGGCGGATCGCGCCGTGTGCCGTGTACTAGCATCGTGCCTGGAGTTCCGCTGCTGCTGCAGGCCTGTGCAGTCTGCTGGTCCAAGTCCCAGCTTTTAGACCACAGGTTTTGGAGCAGCAGGGTGAGAGGTGTGGACAGAGGGCAGTTTTGAATTTTGACTATGACACCTGCCAGTGGGATGGTTGTCCCCACCTTGCAGGATAGGAGGGACAGCGCATGTAAGCTTGAGCTGCAGTGCTCAGTAACCAGTAGCCTCCGTGTCACATGACTAGCAAGGAGCTTCTGTCTTTCTCACAGTCTGGCCCCTGTCAGCTGCATCAGCACCTCCTGGAGAGGGGCTGGATTTCCGGGCCCCTCCTTGGCATAACAGTCTGGCCCCTCCCAGAGCTCTGCAGATGGTGGTGGGGCACCTGCGTTTTCAGTGAGTGTCCCCTGGGGTTCTCTTGCACACCAAAGCTTGGCATTCCTTCCTGCGAGGTTGGGGCCTCCATTCATTCCTCAGTAGATAGCAGACAGTGGAGGTGACCCTGTGTGGATAGCTCTTATCGATGAGGTGGCTGGCTGTATACCGGCACACCTCACCTTACTGCGATTCACTGGTGGTGGTGCGTTTTTTACAAATTGAAGGCAAGATCCTCTACTAGCAAAAAGATAACCATTCACTTTATTTGTGACACTTGCTGTTTTTAGGTGGTCTGGAACCAGACCCACGTATCTCTGAGGTATGCCTGTAATTTGTTGTCCAAACTGGAACATTCTTGAACATGAAAGGGGGCGCCATTAATATTGTAGCTACATGGTGACAGTAGTAAAAAGCAGGACTGTCCTGGGAAATGGAGGGGTGTGGTCAGTATTTATTAGTTTCTCTTTCCACCTTTCTGATGACCCAGGGAAATGCCTTTCCCTTTCTATTACAGATGGGGAAACTGAGACCCAGAGAAGGTTCCTTCTGGCTATAACCTTGTTCCTTGATTCCAAAACACCTCCTTGGCCGGGTAGTCAGTGCTGACTCACTGGAGCGCGGGAGTGTGGGGTACTCCAGGTTTCCCGTGGTGTTGGAATGTTTAGAAAATGAACATAACCTTTGTGAATGAAAAAAACCCAACATTAAGGCCATAAAACACATATCTAGAAAAGATAAAAACATAAACACAGAGGATCCTGTCAGCAGAAGGAAGCCACTACTCAGTGTGTATTAGTGTGTTTGTGCTTCCTCTTCTCGGTCCCTGGGGCTTGGCTGTGACCCCTTGTCCTACAGACAATCAATCAGTGTCCCTCTGGGCAGAGTGACAGAAGGAGAGGACTGCTGAAACCAGCTTTTCCTCAAAGCAGACATTCTATTCGGGTCAGTCAATTTTTCTTTCTCCTGATTGCCTTAGAGGCCAATTGGTGATTTTTTTTCCTGTTAGGAAAAATGACAGTCCGTTTTTGTGGCATGTGGCTCGGACTGCAGTTGCAGAGCACACTTAAGGGGACCCAAGGTTGTTGGTGCCCTAAATATAAAAAGCGGCGACGCACTTGAGCCTGTGGTGCTGAAGCCTGCAAGGCCCCCGTGTGTGAAGGTTGGGTGTATTTCTGGTTCAGACGGAAATAGACACCTACCAGAGGGCCTGCTGGCATCAGGGCTCACAGGCTGCCTTGGGCCAATTTTGTCTCTGTCCCTGGCTGCCTGGCTGTCTCCTGCCTGTTCCACCTGCTCCTACGGGAGCTTCATCTGTGTTTCCCCTCTGGCTTTCGAGTGCTTTCACACAGCCTGCTGCTCATGGTTCGGGTGGAAGGAGCAGCTGCTTGGTCTCTCTGGGGAGAGGGGCTGGGCAGGGCAGCAGGAATGCACCCATGGGACCTTCCCTTCTTCGAGCCTCCCTGTGAAATGGAGGCATCCTCGGAAAGCTCATTTAACAGATAACATGTATGGGCTCAGGGATCTCTTCCCCGTGAGCTGCCTCTGCCTCACAGCAGTGTTATCCTGTGTTCACAGGCAAAGATGGAGACGCTGAAAGACAAGACCCTGGAAGAGCTGGAGGAGATGCAGAATGACCCGGAGGCCATTGACCGGCTGGCCCAGGAGTCCCCTGAGGTAGAGGGAGGCCATCAGGGGCCCAGGAAAGGCCAGCAGAGGGGACTGAGGCCCTTCTTAAGGACACTGGCTTGTTGGGAGTTTGGGCCAAGTTCGTCTCCCTTTTCTGTGGCCTTCCCCCAGGTTGGGACCCAGCCAGAGACGCTCCTGAGGTGTCAGCCCATTTCCTGGGGCCTCTGGGAGTTCTGGGGGGTAGTGCCAGGGAGTCCAGGGCGCTCACGTGAACCCGCACGCCCCAGGAGTCCCGCACTGTTGCTCTAACCTGACTGCAGACGGTTTCTGAAAGCACTGGTACCCTTCTGTATCTGCCTCTCCCCAGGGCTCATGTGGCGCTGTGTCTCAGGAGGAGCCATGCTCGGGCTCACCTGTCAGATCCTGTTTCCTGTCACAACTGGCAGCTGAGCCTCTCAGCCCCTCATCATAGTCCTCATGGGACTAAAAAGAACTCTTCTGTCTGTGCAGAGCTTTATACCTTTATAAAGGGCTTTCCCTCCCTCCCCGTCTCCACAACCCTGTGACTCCCTGCAAGGGAGGAGAGGCCAGGCGGCGGGATGTGTTCACAGAGCTGGACGTTTGCTTGAGTGGCTGCAGCCTGTTCACTGCGCCGGAAGCTCCCGCCTGCTGCTCCTAACGCCAGGGAGGGACAAACACAAATCTGCCAAGCTCATTTGGTTAGCATTTGGAAAATATATATATTGTTGATGCATAGGTGTGGTGTGTCTCTTCTGTGAATTCATATGTTCACCAAAAAAAGGAAGCCACCCCATCCAGCTTCTCCCTGCTTCCGCCTCCCCAGAGCACTTCCCTCTCTGTAAGGGGATGCGTGGCGTGGACGTGTTCCTCGCTGCTGGCCTTGCTGTACTTTCACTGTCCCCCTTCACACACCCAAATGAGCAGTCTGCTGGGGATGGAGGGGGCAGAGCACCAGGCAGGGTCTGAGGAGGTATGGCGACTCGATATGGCGTGACGTGCCGCCCTGAGTTCGTTCAGCGGGGACATAAGGCAGGCTTTCTTGGTTAAATGCCAAGGCCAGCTCAAATGGTTCATTAGGCCGTGAGCTCTGCCAGGGCCTGGCTCTGAGCTGGCACAGCGCAGGTCTTCACTCCTCCTCCTGTTCTTTATTGGTCGCATATTAAGGACCAAGTGTTTCTTGAATCTGCCATGAGCGCCGTGTTATGGGAATTCCAAGGCCTGCTCTAAAAGTGCACACTTCGTAGAAGCAGATCCTTGCACAATTATAATTAGCTGGCATCCATGCTGGACAGGCCCATAGAATCTGTGGCAGAATCACGGAAAATGGAAGCAGAAACCCCTCTTGGGCAGATAGCAACTTGAATTTTGAGGCGTGCAACCATGCCTGACGATGTAATGAATTTGAATTATTTGAGGGGGAAAAACACTCACAGGATCAAGGGGAACGAAGGAGGGTGGGCTACTTAGACTTTCAAAGCCCCTCGGACCAGGTTTCTGCCATGGACCGTAAAACAGCAGTCGAGCCGTGTGGCACTGTGAGGACGGAGATGGGAGCTGTTCAGGTGGTATGTGGACATTGTTTGGAGGAAAGGGAGTGACTACGGGACATCTCTTCACGTAGAAGAGTGTGAATGGGGGTTCGAGCTCCTTAGGGCAGGGTGCTGCAACTCTCCCTGACCTCGTATAAATGACTGGTAGAGGGCTTCATAGTTCACCCCAGTGGAGAAAGATTTGGGGAGCCTGTGGGGAGAGGGACAGGAATGGGTAGGCCAGGGTTCAGGGGGAAATGAAACAGCAGAGTTGTTGGTGAAGATGCAGGAAAAAGGCAGTGGGCGTACGTGAGGCCCAGAGCATCTGTGGGGCCCTCTAAGGGGCAGCTGAGCAGAGGGCTTCAGGCCTTCCTCTCTGTGTCAGCCACATAAGTAAAGAAAGCTTTTGTGGCTAATAATAATGAGATTGAAACTCCCAGTGTCACTGTCCCTGAGTCCGTGTACTTGACAAGTGACTCAAGACGGTATTTGTGCAGCAAACCGGACCGCCTAGTTGCGGGGCACTTGCCATCGTGGAGACCCAGAAGCCCATGGCCAGATCCCGCCCTCCCTGGGCTGCATCCTCGGAGGGAAGGTAGCTGCGATGTCCCTCTTTCCAGTGTGTTCTCAGGGCCCTGTGGCTGGGGATTGGCAGGAGGGCAGGCCTCCCTGAAGTCCCCTCTTCCAGGATGCCCACGGCCTCCTGTGTCTCGTGAGGGACGAGCCAGTCAGGCTTGGCTCATCACGCGCTGACTACGGCTGAAAAGCTGCCCCAGTGGCCCCTGTGTGGAAGCTGGTCTTACCCAGCCGTGTGCTGAGACCTCTCTCCTGGTGCCACGTGGTGCTGGGGGTGTATGGTCCCCACTGCCTCAGGGGTGGTGGGTCTAACTGCCCTCCTCTCAGTAAAGAGGACTCCCTGGCAAATGCACAGGGCTTCAGGCCATCAACAGGTCTGGGAAGGGTTCCCATGGCTGCTACCTTCCCAGTTGGTGGCAACCAAGGACCTGGCTGAGGGGTAAAGCACTGCTCTGCTTCGGGAAGTGCTTTCAGGGGGCACGTCCAGGTGCAAAGGTTGGCATTAGCACCTCAGGTGGCCACAGGTCACCTTGTGTTGGTGGGACTCCTCTGCTGGCTGTGGGGACTCGCCTCTAGTTCTTGGGGCCCCTATGTTAGCTCATCTGCACACCTTCTCTGCAGGATATACATGTGGCCTATAAGGCAGAGACAAGTCTCCTGAATCAGTGTCGCAGTCTGGCCCTGGCTTTCTCACCCCTCACAGTAACTTTATGTTGGAGCCTTGTTGCCTGTCTGGCTTGTGGTCTGGCCTGGGCCACCTCAGCCCACCTCAGAGTAGGTCTCTTGACTCTGAATCTTGTGGGTAAGTGGTTGGGACTTTTGGTCCCTCCCCCCGACCTCCTCCAGAAAGCCTGTGACTTTCTCATATAAATTGGTCCACCCCCTCCCTGGAGCTCTGCACAGCCCATGGCGGACCTGGCTTCTGCTCATCGTGTGGTCTTGGGCAAGCTGTTAATTTTCAGTGTCAGTTTTCCACGTGTATCTGCCACAAAGGCCACTGGATAAGGATTCAGTGAGGTGCTTGGGATGGAGTGCTTGCTCGGGGTTTGAACCCAGGTCCGTCTGATTCTAGCTGAGGGCTGAGCATTGTGGTTCCCCCATGGTGGGTGATGAGTCCCAGAAGCCCCTGGTCCAGCCTGCCACGAGGTGGGTGGTGGTGGTGATTCCTGTGGTCAAGTGTCCTGTTCTTTTAGGTCCAGGACCTGCAGCTGGAACGGGAGATGGCACTGGCCACCAACCGGAGCCTGGCTGAGCGGAACCTGGAGTTCCAAGGTCCCCTGGAGATCAGCCGCTCAAACCTCTCGGACAAATACCAGGAGCTCCGGAAGCTGGTGGAACGATGCCAGGAGCAGAAGGCAAAGCTGGGTAGGGGCGGCCGGGCCCCGGGAGTGGGCTCGGGGGGGCTCTTCTATGAACTCAGGGCCCCGTTCAAGTTGGATTGCTGGAAGAGCATGGAAGACTAGATGCCTCTCCCTTCCCCAGGACAGGAAAGGGCCAGCACTTTCTGAGGGCCACCACGTCCCAGCCCTGTGCTCAGCGCTTTACATACATTTTTTAACAACAGCCATCTAAGGGTAGGTTCTGCTGTTACTCTCATTTCATAGATGAGAAAAAGGAGGCTCAGCGAGGTTCAAGAACTTGGCCAGGGTTGTACAGCTACTTAGAGGGGGAGTTGGGATTTAAATCAGAGCCTGTGCTGCGGCTGTCAACCCGGCCAGCTCAGCTCTGCAGAGCTGGTCCCGGCTCATCACCTCTAAAGGCGGGAGGGGCTTTCCCGGTCTGGATGGTGAAGAACTCGGTGCTCGGACAGGTGAAGTAACTCCCCTTGGAGGCAGAACAGGGTTGGGGTTGGTGGGTGGGCTCTGAATCCTGGGTCTTGGCTTCCCAGGCTGGCGTTGGGGAGGGGGGTTAGCCAAGGTCTGGGCTGGGCTCCGTGGAGCTCCTCTCTGCTCAGGAAGGTGACCTTAGGGAACTGGACCAAAAGCGGCCCTGCAGCAGCTTCAGGGTGGTGGCTGGGCCTCCCGCATGCAGAGGACACTGCGAGCCTTTGCCGAAACCTCAGCCTCCGACATCCAAATCCAGAGGCACTTTTGAACTGTCGACCTTTCTGCCCTCCTTTCCAGAGAAATTTTCTTCAGCTCTGCAGCCAGGGACCCTGTTAGACCTTCTGCAAATTGAAGGCATGAAGATTGAAGAAGAGTCTGAGGTGAGATGGCCGTTGACACCCTCCTTCCTTGAATAGTGTCAGCGCCCGGAGCTGGAGCCCTTGTAATGAGCTTTGGATGTCTGCAAAGGGTGGGACAAGGGCAATTTAGTAGGTGGCAAAGATGAATGACACATTTAGTTCCATTGGAAGCCTTTTTGGATGCAGAGAACAGGAACCCAGTCTCACTGGCCGAAGCAGAAATGGGTGACTGATAGCAAGGTCATGGGCAACTTGCAGACCTGGATGGAAGGGCAGTGCCGCAGGAGTCCCACGGACTGAAGGCAGGCCCGCAGCCCCTCCCGTCACCCAGGCTGCCTGCTCGCTCTTACCCGCTTCCCGCCGAGCATCTCTCAGTGTCTCTGTGGGCAGGCTGGCTGTCTCCACTTCTCCCTGTGCTGGGCCTCCCAGCCCCTGGGCTGGCCTGCACTAGGGGCTGAGTAGCTGGTATTCATCCAGTTATACAACACACACATGCAGCAGCCACTGGGAGCCTGGCACAATGCCAGGGGCAGGGGACAGTGGTGCCCACAACAGACAGTCCCTGCCCTCCAGGAGCTGACCCTCTGGTGAGGGAGACAGAAAACAGATGAGTTGGTTATGTCAGCAGTGCCGGGGGCCAGAGAAGGTAGGGAATGCCTGAGGAGGCTGAGGTGGGAGGGCCGCAGCTCGTCTTTGTCCTGGGGGTCACGGGTGGCCTTGTTCCCAGTAGGCCCCTGTTGTCACCGGACCTCTGTCTTCCAGACCATGGCTGAGAAGTTCCTGGAGGGTGAGGTGCCCTTGGAAACATTTCTGGAGAACTTTTCTACCATGAGGATGCTGTCCCACCTGCGCCGGGTTCGTGTGGAGAAGCTGCAGGAGGTGGTGAGGAAGCCCAGAGCTTCCCAGGAGCCCGCTGGTGACGCCGCCGCGCCTCCCTGCCCCGTTCTCCCGCCACGCCCGCTCCCCCAGGCCACGCCCCCTGCGGCTGAAGCGCAGCCGCCCCCACCGCTGCAGCCCTCAGGAGTGCCCCCCTACCCCTTGCCCTACAGCCCGTCTCCCGGCATGCCTTTGGGCCCCACCGCCCAAGGGGAGCTCCAGCCGGCCCCCTTCCCGGTGGTGTCCCAGCCCTCCTTTCCCTACAGTGGGCCTGTGGGCTCCCCGTACCCGTCAGCCCAGCCAGGACCCAGGGCTGCTGCGGGCTACTCCTGGTCCCCACAGAGGAGCACGCCACCCCGGCCTGGCTACCCCGTGGCCCCCACTGGTACCCCTGGTCCCGGGTACCCCTTGGCGGGGGGCCGGACGCCCAGTCCTGGTTATCCTCAACAGTCCCCCTACCTCTCCACAGGAAGAAAACCTCCCTACCCAACGCAGCCCCAACTCCCGAGCTTCCCAGGCCCCCCTCAGCCTCCCTACCCCACTGGGCCTGCCCCTCCCTATGGGTTCCCACCGCCTCAGGGCCCCCCCTGGCCTAGGTATTAGACACTCCTGGCCCTTGGCCCCTCCCTACTTCCGCCTGAACCACAGTCTTTGGCCCACCTACTGCTGAGATTCGAGGTGAAATTGGAAGTGGACTTGGGGGACCTAGCTGGGAGGCTGCAGGCCCCCCCGCAAGGCATCGGGCAGTGTGACCGGCTTGGTGGCACCAGCACCGTGGGTCACAGCACTTCCCCTTTTGGGGAGGGGATGCCTCCTTTCAGTGACTGGCTTTCGCCTGCCTGGTGCTACCAGGCTGGAGGTAAGCACCTCTCCGTAGGTGTCTGTCGGGGAGCCATGCATTAGTGAACAGCTGTGCCTGCACCCGGACTCCTGAACCCAGTGCACTGACCTCCGTGACGGGCGGGCTGGCCTCCGGCCCCTGCTCGCCCCCCTCCCCTGGGGTTTGACATATTTGACATGGTGCCCACGCCAAGGGATACAGCTCTTTGTGTCTTTGGCCCGTTCAGGGATGGCCTGCCCCACGCGCCATGGCTAGGGTCGGATCAGAGGGAGAGAAGAGTTAGGAAAAACACTCCATGATTTTTCAGTCCCATAAAGCCATAACTGAACTCTGATGTGCTGATGTCAGATAAGCTTGACCTATGTGCTGGTTTGAATGACAGCCGCAGGGCCAGCGCAGAGAAGACGGGATTGTGAAGGTGGACCCCAGACCTTGCTTGCACTGGTTGGAAAATCCAGGGGGCTGCCTTGGACTCTCTGACTGGATGAGAGGGAGCAGCTCTGGCCTAGGGGATGGTGGTCACATTGGGGCTCATTTAGGAGTGGAGGGCCAGGCCACCTCCCCAGCCGCCCCCTCTTCTCTGGCCCCTCACTTCCGGTTGACTTTTCCCAGGCCCACCTCTTCCGTCCACTCCTTTAGTGCCTTGAATCTCATTTGCAGCAGCCCCCTCCCTTCACCCCCTTCCTCTGGCTCCCTTGATGTAACTCTCCCCCAGCCCCAATATTTCTCCTAAGGCAGACATCAGAAGATGCCCTAACAGTAACCTCCCAAAGGGTGCTTTCTAAAACACCATCACTACATTGGAGTCCGTTTCTTTGCATCTCTCTTGTCTTCAGAATGTAAAGGGCAAGGATTGTGACTCCGTGCCACGTGCAGCCCTCAGCACATTGGGGGTTTTAAGCATATTCAGTCATAAAAATGACAGTAGACCAAAGGGGGTGTGATGAGCACAGCATTAACTTGGTTGTCCCAGATGTGAACCAGGTCTCAAGGGCAGACCCTGGAGCTGCTATGGGTTAGGAAGTCATATGTGCCTTGAAACGTCCACTACATTAGTACCCAGCGTCTGGGATGCTGGGGGCCTGGGATGCTGGGGGCCAATGAGGAAACGACCTCCTGGTGCCTGCCCCCGCCCGCCTGCGTGCCATCAGTGGGCGCGCAGACGAGATGCTCCATTAGCACGGTCGGTTCCTTGCCAATTGTGCTTGCTTCTCATAAGTTATTTATAAAGAGAGATCACTAATGGACTCTACTGGTTTGTGTGCTTCGGAACTGGATGAACGACCGCCTGTATGTTGTATAAATAATTGCCATAATAAACGTCCAGGAGTTCCATGCAGTGTTGTGGCTCATGGGTTTGAGAAGCGGAGAGGTGGCTGCTTGGGACGGGACGGGGCGGCGGGGTGGAGGGCGCATTGATGTCTTCCGCAGCCTGCGGGATCAGCTCTGCTGAAAGCCTCTGATTCTCATCCACAAAGCCCCATCCACTTGGGTCTCATCTCCTGGCTGCTGCCCTCATGCTCCTTTACACACCCCCACCCCCACCCCCGGGCGTGTCCCTTTCCTATTTTGGTTTTCCATCTTAGGCATTGTCATGCTGAAGCGTGCACGTTTGCCTCTTCCTGGGCGGAGAGCTTGGGCCGTGAGAGGCAACGGGCCGCTAGATGCTGTGCAAGGTGCACACTCCTGCCACCTGCTGGGCTGACGATGACCTCTGCTGTCAGCCTGTCCAGGACCCCCAGCTGTCATCGGCACCTTCCCGTCCAGTTTCTATACTGGGGACCCAGGGGCAGGAGGCTGATAAACTGGCTGAGGAGCCAAGTGGTCTCCTGCCATCACCCAGCCCGCCTCCCTCTCTAGCTCCCCAAGCCCAGCTGATTATCGTGAGGCGTGGGAGGGGCTCTGCTGTCTGTCAGCAGGAAGTGCAGTGTTGGGGGAGCCTGGAGACCAGGTTTCTGATGGACCCTCAAGTCCGCTCCTGTGCTCTTCCCTGCAAGGTGAGAAGGGCAGGTTGCCTGTGGAAGATGCGCAGAGATGCTGATTCACCAACACTGAAAACGGCTGCACGTGTGAAGCTTTCAACATGTCTGTCTGGTTGAGTCTTCTCAGCAGCCCTTTGACCGCCCCATTGTAAAAAAGGGCAGGAAACTGCGGGTGGGTGGCTCCCTGATCAGGGCACATACCCCAGAGGGACAGGGCTGGGACTTCCACCTGGCTCTGCCTGCCCTGGCTGCGGGGGCTCCTCTGTCATGGCTTTGTGGTGCCAGGGCTCATCAGGCTTCAAGAGGCCACAATCCTGAGAAAGGCTGAGGGCCCCTGGGCTTCGGTGAAATGTCTCCTGCCCTTTGCCCCCTCCTGAACTCTGGCCTTGCCTTGCAAGTGTCCAGGGCTGAGGATGCAGGACACGCAGGCGAACTAGAAGACCAGCTTGGCTTTGTAGGAAGAGCACGAAAATCTCACCCAGGGAGCACGATCAAGCCACTTGACTTGGGTTGGTCCCAGAGTGGTGGCGGGGTACATGACGGGCTGAAGAGAGGGGGTGCCGCTTCCTAAGAAAAGACGGCTCAGAGATGCTTCAGCTGGTCACCCACTGCGTGGCACCCCTGCTGGTCCTTGCTGTCCCTCCTCCCCAGGTCCTCCACAGCGCAGATCTAGCACATCCTGGCCCCCTCCCCACCCAGCATCCTCCCTGTGAAATCAGATCACCTGGCACCCTCCACAGTGGGCCTCTTGCTGCAGAGCAGGCTGCATGGGGGATAGACCCTCAGTGTCAAAAGCCTCAGAGAGACTCCTGGCTTTAGTGACACTGCTGAGTGAGCTGGGGTAGGCCGTTTGACGTGTCCTTTCAGCTATCAGGTTCATTTAGTTCCACTCAGTGCGTCCCGATCCAAATGCATGACAGTTTAGAAGCCACACTTGTTGCTGGGGAGTCACAGTGAGCTTTCCTTTCGGGTCTTCACATTCCTTGACTTAATGTGAGGAGAATGTGCTAGAATCAGGTTGCACACTCAACCGCCTCTGAGGGTCAGGTGAGGAACAATTTAGGGGAGTGGGCCTGGGTGAAAGACACAGGTGAGCGCTGCCCTCGCCGGCTGAGGGGCAGCCTCTGCTGTGCTCTGGCAGGTTCTGTGAGGCAGGGGTGTGGACCCAGAGGCCTCCCACGTACCATGGCCACATCCTGGAGGGCTGAGGGAGGTGGCCTGGGAGCTTTCATTGGAGGATCCGCCGTCACCGGTCAGCCTGTGGGCTGGTCTACCTGCCAAGGAATTTGGTAAAGGCACCTCCAAGGCCGAGATTCCCATTCGGTTGCTTAACCAGATGTTTTTGGAACATATCAGAAAATAGTCTTCTAATGAGACTTTTGCGCCTGCGCAGCTTTTTGGGTGTGGAGTTGTTCTTAAAAGTAGACCATGGTTGCACTGAGTGAGGCCCCCGTGTGGTGGCCAAGCTCAAGATTCAAGAGCTTTTATGAAGAGAGGCTCTGGTAGGGGACTTTTAGTGCCTCGCATCCTCTGCCTCTCCCTAAAAGTAGCCTCTGAGCTCCCTTTTGAGGACTCCCTGCCAAGTACGGGACGATAACTGGCTGTCCCTGTTTCTGGGTTCCCAACGTGGTCAGGGGCAGACCTGTGCCCTGGGCTGGGCCACCTGCCTCTCCCAGGACTTGAGTCCTGAGCAGGGGGAGGGCGGGGGCTGGGTTGGAGAGTGTTGGTGGGGGCAGACCGCTGACCAGGCTCTCCTGGCATGCCAGTGCTCCCAGCTCCCTGATTCTGAGAGCACCCGCTCCCCCAGTATCCTTCTAGTAACCCCCCTGTTGCTCTCTCACAGTGGCTCCTGTGGCTGGAACCATTGATGTCTGCCGCTCCCAGTGGATAGAGACAGTGACCAGTCATGTGGAAGAAGACCCCAGCCCCAGGACGTGTTGTCACGCTGCTTCATCTTCTTAGGGCACCGCGTGATGCCCAGGGGCTCCGTGAGGCCCGGCACAGCCTCTCCCTTCACCAGACCCCTCACTTTCCACTTCAGACACCCTCCTCGTGCTTGTAGTTGGGGAAACCCAGGCACCGCAGGATTTGGTGCGTGTCTGGGCTCCCCTACTAGTAGAGGAGACTTTCAGTTGAGGGAGTTATTTAACCCACAGGAACATTCAGCCCTTTTCTCTGACTCTCCAGTTGGGAGGTTAACTGTGATTAGTTGAAACCCCTTTAGCTTTGGACTTTTAACTGCTATATGAAACAAAACACCAAATTGGCTAGGAGTTCCTAGGTCTCCCCTTTGTGGAGAGCCCTGAAGTGGCACTGGGGCCCTTTGAGCTTGACAGCCAAAGGCCTTGCTCTCTATTAGGAAATCTTGAAGTGAGGGGCTGTGTGGGGAGGGGTGGTGATGGGGCTGTGGGTCAGGCGGCCATGGGAAGCCTGGGCGCCCCCACCACGCCCTTGCTGGCAGTTGCTGTCACATGTTAGGCTGTCTTTGTGTCAGGTGTGCAGCCCTCGTGGTCTCACGGCAGGCACCCCTTCCTCGGGCATCCTCAGGGGGATTCAGAGGGTGGAACTAGACTGAGGAGGCCGGGCACTTTAGCGCTCAGGAAGTAAAAAAAGCGTTATTTACAAAGAACATATTAAAAATACACTAGAAAACCCCGCCCCCACCTTTCCCCGAGGCGTGAGCATCCGGACAGTCCTCGCTGGGATCTGAGTTTGAGGAGACAGCCAGTTCTCCTTGGGTGCTGCTTCCCACAGACAGGGGAGGGGGCCCGGCCCGGCCCCCACATGTCTCTGCTTGTGGGGGGCCACACTTGAGGGGCCAGCCAAGCTGTTTGGGGGGCTTCACTGGACCAGGCTCCCGCGGGGGGGTGTCAGAGCTGGGCTGCAACTGTAGGAAAGCAGGACGTGTTGGAAAGGCCCCTTTCCCTCCATCCTCGTTCTGGGGGGGCAGAAATCGGGACGTCATCTCCAAGCGGCGAATGCAGGGTGTTCTCAGGACAAAAGGCCTGACTCTGGACTTCTGTTCCTGGTTCCCAGTTCTGTGGAGCAAGAAGGAAACGTGTCAGAGGAAGAGACCTCACACCTGGAGATGGTTCCAGGAGGTGGGACAGGCCCCGACGTCAGGGACAGCTCTGGGTCAGGGGCCCCTCTTTCCTGCTGGCAGCTCTTTCGGGGTGTAAGTCCATCAGCAAACTCCTCGGGGCTCTTTTGGGTGATCTTCTGAGATGGCGTTTAAGAGGTGGTATTAAGGTCGGTGATTCCTCTGCTTTAATTGCCGAATCAGCTCCCATCACTAAAATCATTGAAGCTGATTCTTTCCCTTTACATGAGTTATAATGCATGGCGTCCCCCATTCATGGATGGGCAGGGCGGGCAGGAGGTGAGGAACCCAGTGGCAGGTACTCATCCCCAGCGCCCATCCCCAGGTGCCCATCCCCAGGACAGGTGCTCATCTCGTGGCTGGTGCCCATCCTGTGTGGGAACCCCGGGGTGCCCAGGGCTAGGCTCACCTTTTACAGCCTCTGAGCCCCGTGCAGATCGTAGTCACTGTCAGAGGAGTTATCGGGCTGGGTGGAGATGCGATGCAGGGCCCCTTCCAGAGCTGCGGAAAGGACAAGGACGGAAAGAAGCCGTTTGCAGCAGGCTTATCCTACCAGGCTACACAGAGAAAGCCACTCAGAGCCCAGAGCCCAGAGCCCAGCAGGGGTCAGAGATCAGAGGGGCTTTAGGAGCTGGTGGCTTGACAGCCCCAGATCTGTTTTGATCAAATCAGCCAAGTGTTCACTAATGATGCTGAACTCTAGGCTCCCTGGGGCTTAATTGTCAGTGCCAGTCAGGGAGCATTGATACTGGGCTCCTGCAGGCCACAGAGGGTGGCTCTGCTCTGCCTCATTTACCGTCCAGCCCACGAGGCCCTGCCGTGAAGCAGGCCCGTGAGGTCTCAGCAGTGCTGAGGTTAATGGCGTCCCAGTGCCTTGTGTCTCTAGTTGAATGGCCTGTTAAGGCTGTATCCCTTCCACACCCTGCGGCGACTGTCGTTTGATCTCCCTTCCTCCTGGGGCCCCCACTCTCTCTTCGGGTGATCCCATGATCTCTGCTCCAGCCCTGCTGTCACTCTTAGGAGCGCCCGCTGGTGCTTTACCTGGATAAGCCGAGACTTGGGAGTTCCTGGGAGGCTGACTGTACTCGTTCTCCGCTTGTGAGGCTGTGGGGCTCTCAACCTGGGACCGGCGGACAGTCGCGGTGTGGTTGCGATGGAAAGACACTGAGCGGATAGATGCAGGAGGCAGTGTCATTAGACCCGCTTCTGTCGGTCCTCCTCTCCCTTCCCAACAGGGGCCCAGAGCTCCAATTTCCTGTTCCCGCTGCGCAGTGGGGGGGGGGGGGGGGGGGGAGGCAATGTGTCCTTCGTTTCCTGTCTTCTGGGACAGGCTGATACTAGCAGGGGTCAGACTTAGAGCAGCTTTGGGCTGGTGAGCAGGCTGAGTGGCTGGTGGGCCTCCAGGGGGTGAGTTAGTCATCAAGCATTTACAAAGCAGGGGATTGAAATGCAAGGCATAGGGTAGATGTCCTCCCTGCCTTCCCAGAGCTGAGGGCCTTTATAAAAAAAGATGACAACGTAGAGCCTTTTTGAAGGATTTGGCCCTTGACTTGTAGAGGGAGTAAGAATGTGGAGTGGAAGGGAAGAAGGCTGTGGTTCCATCCAGGAGGGTGGCTCTGGCTGTGGCGAGGACAGAGGGTGAGGGCTGGGGTTAGGCTGGCTGCCTGAAAATGTTTTCCAACTGGCCTTTTAAAGTTATTTCATTATGAAGACATTTCATGATAAAACTAGCTTGGACAGCCCTTCTTAATGGATCTTCGTTTTTGGAGATGAACAAGGCAAAAATGGCCATTAAGGTTCTGATAAGTCCTGAAATAAAGCACCCTGCCTAGCTTTGCTTAACTCATGGATTTCCAGATGGATTTGATCGTGGAGTCCTCGTTTGTGAGTACCGCCTGTTAACACCTGTTGGCACAGTGACGCCTTGGACAAGCGCGGTAGAGCGCAAGAGTCCTCAAGCAGCCACTGGCTCTTTCTGTGGTCAGCACTGCGCCTCGACCCTGCCGCCACGACCTCCTTCCTGAGGCCGGTGGACACTGGCTGAAGCCGAGGGAGGACCCTGCCTCCGGGACACTTACTGTTCTGGTTCATTCCCGTCGGGCCAATCCACTGGCGCTGCTTCTTCTGGCGGACTGGGTGACAGAAAAGGCACATCAGAATGGGGGTGGGCAGGGGAGGGGAGCGTGGGGGGAGGCGGCAGGTGCAGCTGAAGGGGGCACTGCTGGACTCTGTCCCCTGAAGTCTTTGGGGGCCTCAGTTTTCTGACTTGCCTGAGCCGGAACTGGACCTGGTGCTCAAGGAGCGAGTGTGCTGAAGAGGCTGGTTCTCCAGGAGAAGTGACTGCTCAGAACCAGGATTAAGACCTCGGAGGGCGCTAGGGACCCAGCCGACATTGCCCGCCTCTGAGCCTTCTCTTTTTAGGCCCCTCTAATCTCACTCCCTTGTCTCTGAATAATTTTCTCCTGAGTTCTGCGCGACAAGGATAACAACCTGCTACAGCCACTAGGTGACTAATCGCTCATTCGGTAGATGAGGAAACTGAGGCTCAGAGAGTTAGGGCCTCAGTCAGCATCATGTGCACCAGGGCCTGGGACGTGTGTCTCCTGAGGTCAGAAGCCGTGCTGATGACCCTCTGGGCCCATCACCGTCTAAAACCTGGCCATATCCTCCGTTTGGCCTGGAGTGGGTCTCAGCTGGGCCCAGGAGTGGGTGAGTCAGTGCCTGCCATGCTCCTGGCTTTCTGTTTCTGTCACTTTGGGCAGAAAAAGGCCAGCGGGCAGGAGAGGGGCGGGGCTCGCTGATGAAGCAGAGGTAGGAGGCGGAGCCCCTCCCCTGGGAGACTGAGTGCAGCCCTTCCCATCTTCCCACACAGGGGGCTTGAGAGGAGGGTGGTTTGGGGCGCCTGTACCTACATTTCTTCACCAGCTTCTTGTAAGCGAGAGGGCCGCACATGACGAGCAGCACTGCCAGCAGCACGAGGGCCAGGATGATGCTCGCCACGGTGCCTGCGCCCAGGCCCGCCGGGTTCGGATCCTGGCCTGGGGGAGGCAGAGGAGTGAGGTCGGTCCCACCCCGTGGGGATCCAAACTACCCATTCAGACAGCAGCTGCTGGCTGGCGTCTCCCGGTAACTCACCAGCATGTGTGGGAGGCAGCTAGCTAGCTATCTGGCTGTCTGTCCATCCATCTCTAGAATGCTCTGCTGCACATTCATCCATCTACGATTTATCTTCTAACAATTGACCACCCAGCTACCACTTGCCACTCTTGTAATCAGCCATTTTTAGCTTTCTACCATTTGCCGTGTATAAGTGATCACCTTGCCATCGTATATGGCACCAATATATGATCATATACCAATAGCCGGTTACCCATCCCCTCCATGTCTCTCTTTACTGCTCTCTTCATTACCGTTCGTGTAGCGAACACCTAGCATGTAGCCTCGCTTTTCTATCCTCCATCCTGGAAGAGTGGACCATGGAATGGGGCTCTGTCATCCGTGAGCTGCCTAACAGCTATGGCCAGCCCCCTCTTTACGGCTCACACTCACTGCTGCCTGAGCCCTCTTGCCCGCTCTCCTCCCATGTGCCATCTCTCCATCTTTTTCTGGGGGGTCCTGGGGCCCAGTCTTCAGAAACATGCTCACTGACTGGGTCCCAGAGGGAAAATCCGGAACCCCCCTCCGCCCACCGTGGGCCGTGGCCAACTCACATGTGACAAACACCTTCTTGCAGTGGAGTTTTTTCTCTCGAAGCTGGTGGCACTGAGACAGCTTCTCCTGGGGACAGAAGAGCCCCTGGGAGGTCTTCTCACGGGTGTCCAGCACCTGGTAGGAGCTGACGTTGCCGCACTTCTGCTCCCGGCACACCTCTTCCCAGCGCGCTGCGCCCTTGGCCCCGAGGTTGTGGCACAGCGCTTCCCACTGCTTGCCCTGGCGCACCTCCACGGAGCCTGCGCACACGCCGCCGCCCCCCACCAGGCGGCTCTGCACCTTGGGCTGAAAACCTGAGGAGGGGAAGCAATGCCAGATGAGGTGGCGGGTGCAGAGGATGCTCCCTCAGCCCTGAGCCTGCATGCCCAGTCACTGGGAACCCATGTCCTGGCAAAGTGTGGGCCGGGGCAGGGGCCAGCTCGCAGGGGTTCAGGCACCATGTGGGACAACCTTCCTTTCTGTCCTTCCCTTTCGCTGGCATCCCCTTTGGCACTTCCCCCATCTCTGGGCAGCTGCCAGCAGCCGTCCTGAGACACCACAGCACAGCCACTTGCAGTGAAGAAGTGACCAGCCAGCAGCAGGGCGTGGCCCATGCCCAAGTGCAGCTAAGAGAAGACCGGTGGGAAACAGACTCCACTTTCCTCTTAGAATCATCCTCTCACTCTCTTGCTGCTTCTTGGAAGGCAAGAGGGCTTTTCAGAAAGGGAAACTGAGGCCCAGGGAGGGGAAATACCTCTGCTCCAAGACCTGCAGTTCACAGGTGGGACAGAAGGCAGGAACCCTGCTGCCCAGGCCCTGCACCCTGAGGGATAGGCTTTCATGAAAGGGTCCTGGTACAATAGAGACCAGACATTTCTGCTTGTCAGAGTGGGGCCTGGGGTCCATCTCTGAGGCCTGTACACCCCCAGTTTAGAGGGAGCTGTGATCTCACCAGTTTTGGCCAGCTTCCATAGCAACATCTACTTTCAAAGCCTTAGTAAGTCTTCTATCTAGAACAAAGGTCACAGGCCAGCCCACCAGGTATGGCTTGCAGGCTGCAGCCTGCTGGGTGGCTCCTAGACAGGGCTGGGTGGGGCTGAGAGCTGCTGCTTCTTCCCTCCTCAGGCCAAGAGACCACTGGGGGCTGCTTCTGCCTGGGGGTGGGGTGGGGCGGTGGTGGCAGAGTTTACTAACTCACACCAGGGTCCCATGGGCCTGGGCCCTGCTGGCAGGAGAGCCCAGTGGTCAGAGCCCTGCTCCCTGGCTTTGTGCACACGAATCCCGGACCTTGTGGAAATGCAGACCCTGATTCAGGAGGTCGGGGTGAGGCCTGAGAGCCTGCATTTCTACCCAGCCCCCAATGACACCGTTGCTGCTGGCCCAGGTCCACCCTCTGAGTAGCCAAAGCTTGGACAACAGGCTCTGGAGTGACCCTGCGTGAGTGGACATCTCAGCTAGTGCTCTATGATATTGGGCAAGAAATGTAACCTCTCCACACCTCAGCTTCCTCCTCTGTCAAGGGGGGATAACAGTAACACCACCTGCAAAGGCATTTGTGAAAATGAAAGAATGTCCTGGAATGGTCCCTGGCATGATGCATGACTTCTTAAAGTCTGGATTCCACCAGAACCTTCCGGCTGATTGGAACCCACTCCATCCCAAGGCCGGCTATGATTATTCATCTGTATTTTGAACTGTGGTCTCTTTCCCTTCTGGTTCTCCACTGGTTTTGGGGTCCCACAGGCCAGCCTCATCGGCCTCCTCCCCTCAAGCACACCAGCATTGCCAGTCTCTTCCTGTGGCTGGGGAGCCTCTGCAGGAGGCCCTTTGGGGGCATGCTCTGGTCTCCCTCTGCCTGCTGTGCCCCAGGGACCTCCCACCTCTCACCATCGCCACAACCGCATCTGTCTCTGGGATTTATAAACTCCCCTTCTGCAAGGCATGCCCTCCCCC